AAAAGAAGAAGAGGGAGAAGGAGAAGAAGAAGAAGAGGAAGAAGAAGAAGGATCCTGAGCATGATGAGGTTCCTGGTGCCAAGCGTGAGCTTGACATTGTGTATACTTTTAAACGGGTAACAGTGACCCAGAATTTAGACCAAACAATCCGGTAATTATTTACTTTCTAGCGTTTAATTCTGGGGAAGGACTTCCGTATCGAGCCACCACTTTGAACTCTATGAGAATGTTATACTCACTCAATGGCCATCAAAATCATGACAGAAGGCCTTTAAAGCCAAAATAGTATGTTACTACCTACAGACGAGGACATTGCCGTGGTTTACGTATTCTTAACTACAGCGCAAAGTTTTGAATGTCCAGTCGGGGATGCTTAGATTTCTGTCTTGATCTAGATCTAGAGCGCGGCTGGAATTAAAAGCGAGAAAGTAAACAATTGCTAACAATACTTCCTCCTTTGTAGAATCAACAACAGATGGCAGTATTTATCGTTTTCTCAATGAGCATAGATGAAAAGCATCTTTCGTTGGTGACAGAACATGATGAGTAAATGGAGTATGATCTTTTTATAAGGTGGGGTTCAAAATGTTTTAGCATGGAGTACGTGCCATGGGGAAAGGCTGAGCGTTATGAAGCGTTTTGAGTAAATAAGAGCTCAACTGAAAAAGAAGAGTTGGATTTCTTACGCCCAGTCACCAGATGTAAGGTGAGTACATATTTTACTGTACAGTGGCGTCCAAGAGAAACTTGAAACTGTAATCACCCAATCATCGTGTTAAAGCCTTGCACTACCCACTCATGCAGTATGCCAATTTAAAGATAAATAAATCCTGCATTATCTGACACAGTAATATTTCACTTATGTTCAGAGATGCTCGAGATATGGGCTTTTAAAATAATTGACCTTATAATCTCTGGCTTGGAGATATCAAAGAAACGTAAAAGTGTGTTCGCGCGTGTATTGAGATCAACGTTGGTGGAACGGATATGTATTGAATATCAAATGAAAGGAAAGTATCATTGTCTCTGCAAAGAACAGCAAATTCAGAAGTACATTTTCGAACAAGTTAGAAAACAGATTACTTGCAAATACCATGCTGAACTTAGACTCAACAGTGCATGTGCTCATTAGTATGATTTTGTTTTTGTTTAGGAGCTATTGGTCTTCTTGTAGAGCACAAAACTTTTAGCACATAGTTGTGTAAGTTAGATTTTGGACTAATCCTCTGTCAGTGAGGATCAGAGGCCATGTAACTGCCTTTTTTGGGTGGACTGGGACGGAATAAACAAAATCGTCCGTATGTGAATCATAAGATGGCTTGCTTTAGTTGACTACATCGCGCAAGTGTTGGAATGTCATGTCTTACCCTTATTTCCCTCATGGTGTCATTCAAGTAGACATCTCTATTCATGGCAAATCACTTTGTCATTGGGCCAATATATTATCTCGAGACAATTCATGGAAAACTATACCATATCAACTTTGGAGTAGTCACCAGTAAATCGCCCGATATGAATCCTACAGGTATGTGACATCCCATGAAACAGCTGCAGAAAAAAATTGACGTTGATCCCAATTAAGACCCTTCGTTTGCAACCGTCTGTGACATCTGGGATGAAATGACTGATAATTGTTCAAAATTTAGCGGAGTCGATGATCTATGGGTTCGTGCACTACACAAAACCAGTGGCTCCTACGCAAAATAACAATGAGCACATAATGTTAAGTCCAAGTTTTTGTGGTATTTGTGATTGCTCTGTTTTCTGTTTTGTTTGAAATTGAAATTATCGACATTAAATTATATTGTTTATTGCAGAGAAACAAAATCTCAATTCATTGGATGTGCAATGATTATCCATTCTATCAATATTGATGGTCCCCAATACACGCGCGAAGACAACTTTTCTATGATTTCGAACAATTTTCCCAAGCCTGATTTTTAAGGTCAATTTTGAGTGACCATATTGTTATCTCGAGCATCTCTTAACATAGATGAACTATTATTGTGTCAGATGGTGCAGAATTTATTTAGCTTTAAATTGGTATGATGTATGAGTGGGTAGTGTAAGGCTTTAACCCGATGGATGGGTGATTACATTATCAAGTTTCTTTTGGAACCCACTGTATGATACACGTGCGGGTCTGTGACACCTAGTTGTCGGTCAAAGGGATATAAATAGGTTACCGTGAAAAGGGTTAATATGTAAAGCCCAGGTTACTCTCAGCGATAAATCGTATTACATTCTTCGTATAGTAGACCTGTCAGATTTATCAAACCCCATATTCTGTTTACACATTCCAATTTATAGTGTCTAATTCCCTTTCAATTGAGGGAGACTCCTTCTTCTTGCGCCAGATGACTCTTCGCAACAATTTACCTGTTTTCTGTGTGTTGTTATTTAACAAACATAAAAAAAGAGGAACACAGAGTTATTAGTTGCTAAATTCTAATGACACAAACTCTCTCTACGTCCTCTCTTAATGATTTGTTATTGTAGTCTCTGGACTTAATCGTGCACAGACATACGAGGGATCTGTAGGCCTCTACATGTCAATAAAGAGAATAAGTGTCTTTCGACCAAGTCACCATGTGACTGTGCAGTAGTAGATAGTAGATATTTAGTGTGCAGTGTGTAGTCCTAACAGCTTTGACGTCAGATGCACAGTGATGAACTTACAACACACTGGGTGACCTTGATACATAACTTTAGATTGAAAATAGACAATTGAAAAACAAAGATTGCTCCAGTTTTAAAATATGGCATCAAATCAGGTTCCACGTGAGCTACTTTGCTTATTTTGATACGCCGATTTCGAAAATGAAATCAGTTTTTAGCTGCAATAATTATTTTGAAAATTCTGCGCCCAAAGTTTAATCCCGCGCAGCGGCAAACTTCAAAGGAATGAATGACGCAACCCAGCAAAACGGCTGGTCCAGACTGGGATCGAATTATCCAACTGCCGTGTTATGTGGAGCATGCTAATAGTGCGGGGCTGGTGAGAAAAGCAGTTGCAGCGCGCTGGTAACGAAACTTCGCCCATTTCTCGGCATCGCTTCTCGGCCTTTTGGCTAAGATCAAAGTGTAGTATCTGTTCTTATCAGCTTAATATCTGATACGTGGCTTCCTAGCCACTACGATATTAAACTGATTTTTGGACACAGGCGAGATGCCCGGGGCTTGCTCCGCTCTCGCCACGGGTCGGCCCGGTATTGCAGTCCCTCCGGGAATGGCCCAATATAAGCAAACAATGTACGAATGGTTCTCCAAACAAACAGACACACAAGCGCAAATGTACACATGCAATAACTGCCCGCTCGCTTCAGGTCTAGAAATCTAGTGTGTTATTTTAGATCTAGTAAGCGCACGTGCAAAAACTGAGTTGAGCTCACTCAGCCTGTTGGCCTCACAATCGAGTGTGCTGTTTCCCCCCTTTCAATTTCCATTTTACGCCGGGCAGTCAGAGCAAGCGGAGGTCGAGGAGATCAGAGGGACAAGAAAATGTGCCTGCTCCCTGTCACGATGTCAACGTTTCATTCATTCATTCTGTTTTCCAGTGGCAGCAGTAGCAGCAGTAGCAGGTAAGATCACGTTATTGTAATAGCCTCCCCTGGAGCCGCTTAATAGCATTTAATAATAATAATAATAATAAATAGCATTTATACTGCGCATTTCCATTTCCTAAAAGATGCTCAATGCGCATTACAATGAAAAAGACATCACATCTTACAAATTAATCGACACAAATGTGTACGTAAAACAAAGTATTATACATATAATATAAATGCATATGTGTAAAATTTTATACCAGAAAAACAGTCTCGCAGTGAGGTTGAAAATGTGTTCACTAAAAATATACAATGCAATATAAATTCACGAACAGTCAAAATACAGTTGAAACGTGAGTAACTAGAAACATTCATTAAAACATTAATTCTATACAGATAGAAAAACATTTCCACTCTATCTCTCTCTCTCTCTCTCTCTCTCTCTCTCTCTCTCTCTCTCTCTCTCTCTCTCTCTGTCTGTCTGTCTCTCTCTCTCCCTCTCCCTCTATCTCTCTCTCTCTATCTCTCTCCCTCTCTCGCTTTCTCTCTCTTTTCTCTCTCTATCTCTCTCTTTTTCTCTCTCTCATTCTCACTCGCTATTTCTTCAGTCTCACAGTCTGGCATACACATGCATATATATCACAGTACATCATTATGACAGGTATGCTTTTGTGAATAAAAAATGCTTCAGCTGATTTTTGAAAATGGAAATTGTTGGGGCAGATCTTATTTTATATGGGATTTCGTTCCATACCTGGGGACCAAAGAACAAAAAGGAACGCTTGCCGTATGTTTTGTAGTTTTGTTTTGGAGTTTTAAGAATTAGATTGTCAGAGGCTGATCTAAGGGCTCTAGGTGGATTATATAATTCCAGGAATGTTTTAAGATAAAAAGGTGCACTATCATTTATACATTTAAAACAGAGAACGTCAGTTTTGTATTTAATCCTTTCTTTTATTGGCAGCCAGTGTAGTTCTTTCAGAATTGGTGTTACGTGGGCTGATTTCTTTTGTTTCATTATCAATTTTGCTGCTTGATTTTGAAGTACTTGTAACTTTGATAGCTTTTCGGATGTCAAACCGGACAAAATAACATTACAGTAATCTAACTTTGATAAAATGAGTGTTGTTACAAGTGTCTTGGCTGCTGCTTTAGTTAAATAATTTCTTACACTACCAATTTTCTTAAGCTGAAAGTAAATACTTTTGCTGAGCTGGCTTATTTGGGAGGACATAGACATATCATAATCCAACTGAACCCCTAGATTTTTAAGACTTCTTTTTGAACGAATGGTATGGTTATTAATATCAATTTGTAGCTCTGGGAGATTTTTAATGGCTTTTGTATTTCCACTCAACATTATTTCCGTCTTGTCATCATTTAGTTTCAATTTATTGCTGGTCATCCACATTTTTAAATCTCTAGTACATTGTTCAGTAGAGTCGACTAAAAGTGGTATTTGATCGAAATCAATAGACTTATAAATTTGAGTGTCATCAGCATAAAGATGGTAATTCATGCCATATTGTCTTAAAATATCAGCAATAGGTTGTGTATACATTGTAAACAAGACAGAGTTGTGTCCCTTGTCATAGCGGTGTTGAGATTTACGATTTCGCCTGCGTTGACTCAAAAAGCACTATTTTGTCCCACCGGGCGTGTCGCAGCAGCAGTTGTAAACTCACATCCTACTTAAAACGTAAAGGACGTCGTGACAAATTACTTGCTATGATTTGGATAGTGATTGAATTGCGTAACATGGAGATGAAACCAAGATCACTACGAGAACGCAAGCGGTGCAGGATTGCAAATGAAGACACGTAGCTAATCATACTTAACTGGCACGGGAGGCACCATGTCATTCGGCTGGTCCCCCCTGCCTCGTTAGTATCTAACCATTATTACGTCTCATTTTTCTTGTCGTTTTTCCACACAGAAAACCAGAGCAATGATCTTCCAGACCAGCATAAAATACACCGACCGACCTGAGCTTATCAGACATGAAGAAAACACCTATATATCGTAAAGCTCACCGGAAAAGGAGCAGGCCGGATCCGGAATCCCCAAATGGTAGATGAGATCACAACGAGGTACGGCCTACAGGAGCAACACGTTGTGAGCATATATCGAAATCCAACATCCTTCAACATATACATAACACTTGTGGACACTGTACCAGAAACACTACTCCACGATACACAATTTCAAATCGACTCATACACACACGCATACATTCAAAAACTCACCAGAGAAAAAAAGAAACTGTATTTGTCATGGGTGCCGCCATCCTTTCCACCAGATGTGGTAGAAGATATACTGTACACATTTCTAGACAAGAACAAACCCATTACAATCTTACCACAAAAACACAACCACAATGCAGACAGATATCTAATATTAGCAGAATTTCAAGAAGACGACATTCCACACTACGTACAAGTAACATTAGACAACACTGAAAAAACCCCAGAACTAATTGATATACTTGTGACATTACCAAACCGTCCAGTGGCCTGTCACTCCTGTGGAGTGCCCGGTCACTGGGCAAGTAACTGCCCGAGAGTAACGGGCAGATACCCACAACACCAACCACCACCACCGACAACATCAACAACAACAACGACAAATTCGTACAGTAACGCACTCAGACAAGCACCCAAACAGAACAGAGGGCACATACAGAAGACAGCCCTTCTCCCAACACCAACAACACCCGCACAGCAAGATCCCGCCACACCAAGACCGGCCTCGCCGAGGCCGAAACCACGACCCTCTTCACCGCCACCGGATCCTCCTACAGTAGACCTAACATCACCGACTCCAACACCGAACACAACAGAAACAGACCCAACAGCTCACCCCAACACCCCCCACACCGACACCGCCTGCTCCTTTGCCCGACACCTCACCACCAATAGACGACACCAACACGCTCGACCCAGTACGATTAGACTGGGTCAAAGAAAGCGAAAATATTGCTTAGTTAGACCCACCAACAGAAAACATCGAAATCGACTTCAAGGCAGCACAGAAAAACGCCAAGGAGAAAAGAAGAGCCGCAGCCAACTCAGCCGACTGCGACTGCTACTGCGACTCGTTTGTGGTCGAAGGGAGGCAAACAAATGCTTGCCGAGGAGCAGCGATGACGAGCGCAATAGGGGCCCTTCACTTTTGGTCCACGAAAGTCGCCCCTCTTCCCGTAGACACGCAATAGGTGTGAGAGGGTGAAAATAGTGGCATTTTCCCTCGAAAACGTGAACCACAAAGGCTACGCAGTGAACACCGGCCCTAGGTGCAATGACGCAACCCAGCAAAACGGCTGGTCCAGACTGGGATCGAATTATCCAACGGCCGTGTTACGTGGAGCATGCTAATAGTGCGGGGCTGGTGAGAAAAGCAGTTGCAGCGCGCTGGTGAGGAAACTTCGCCCATTTCTCGGCATCGCTTCTCGGCCTTTTGGCTAAGATCAAAGTGTAGTATCTGTTCTTATCAGCTTAATATCTGATACGTGGCTTCCTAGCCACTACGATATTAAACTGATTTTTGGACACAGGCGAGATGCCCGGGGCTTGCTCCGCTCTCGCCACGGGTCGGCCCGGTATTGCAGTCCCTCCGGGAATGGCCCAATATAAGCAAACAATGTACGAATGGTTCTCCAAACAAACAGACAAACAAATCACACACAAGCGCAAATGTACACATGATGTAGATCTAGATGTACAACAATTGTCGCATGTGTAGCTGCCCGCTCGCTTCAGTGTGTTGTTTAGATCTAGTAAGCGCACGTGCGAAAACTGAGTAGAGCTCACTCAGCCTGTTCGCCTCACAATCGAGTGTGCTGTTTCCCCCTTTCAATTTCCATTTTACGCCGGGCAGTCAGAGCAAGCGGAGGTCGAGGAGATCAGAGGGACAAGAAAATGTGCCTGCTCCCTGTCACGATGTCAACGTTTCA